TTTAAAAAAAATCAAAAACATAAGCAGAATGAAAAAAACGGAAATAAGAAATGACACGAGTCTTTTTTTTTTTTGGGTTTCACAGAGATTTTTTAAGGGCTAAACAAAAAACAAAAACAAAATAAAAAATATAGGGTTGTAGATCTTCCAAAGATGTACAACAACATATTGTTTTTTTTTTTTTTTAAACTTCGTGTATTTACAGAAAAATCAAAACCATAAACAAAATATTTTTTGGGTTGGTACCGGGACCGGCCTCTGTGCTGGACCTTCTGTCAGGCGATGGAATGAAAAGGAGGTCGCTGTTTTCACTACTTGACACCCAGCCAACACCCACAGGAGAGAGCACCCTCTGAGACTTGGGTGTCATTTAGGTGATATTGATGCGATGATATTGCATGTAGGCTCAGGAGGATGTTCTTTTGTTGGAGCGGAGTGACGGGTGGCGTGCATGTTTCCGTCTTTTAGTGGGGGGTTTTGTCTGTGGTTGTGGTTATGGAACTTATGGTGGTACCGCGTTGTGGAGGCGATTGATCGTCATGACGCAGGGTGCGAGGATCATACGTCGTTTCGTTTTGTCATTTTCGTTTTGTCGTTTCGTTTTTGTCGCTTCGTGGGGCGTGTGCGAAAGAAAGCGAGGGAAAAAACAAAAAAAAAGGAAAACGAGAAAAAAAAAGGATAGAAAAAAGGGGAAGGCTGGGGTCGTGAGTCCCTTGTTTTTTATGAGGTGTGCGTGTGGGTGATGATTGTGCTTTTCGTTGTTTGTGGGTTAATAGGTAAATCGATTCTGTTTTATATCAAGGTGGGTTGGTGGCAGGTTACTAGGTTCAATAGGTATGATTTGCTGGTAGGTTTTGAATGTTTTTTTTTTTTATTAGTATGATCTGGTGGCCGGCTACTGGTCTTAAGGGGTCCAGGATTCTTTTTGTCTACGTGCCTATGATGTGCTATTTCTTTATATTAAATTGGGTTGGTTGGTAGTCTGAAGTTTGTGTGTGTGTGTGTGTGTGTGTGTGTGTGTGTGTGTGTGCGTGCGTGCGTGCGTGTGTGTGTGAGTGTGTGTGCGCGTGTGCCGGGGGGAGGGGAGGGAGGACCCTTGCCCCACCAGCCAATCAATCAATCAAAAAATCCATCCATCCATCAATCAATCAATAAAAAAAACAATCAATCAATCAATTTTATTTTATTTTATTTTTTTCACACACCAAAAACCACCCCCCCAAAAATCTTCTTTTTTAACTTTGTTTTGTTCAAGGGGGTAAGGTCAGGGTTTCGAAACCCCAATCCGCAAACCCCACCCCCAACCCCCTCTCCCCTCGGCGGTTGGCCCCGGGGGGGGGGTAAATAGCTGGCGTGGGCACTCTTCAACACCAGTGGGCCATGCTATAGGAACATAGATAGAGTTTGGCCAGTGTGCTAAGGTGCTGGCTATACATGCGCATGGCTGACAGTTGCCCAGGTTCAAACCTTGGTAGCAGCATGCATCTCGAATCTCAATATATATAATGTCGGGGCGGGCCGGGGCAGCATGGGCATGTGGCACGTGGGCACATGGCATGTGCATGTGTGGCGGGCTTGGCCTTGGCACTTGCGTCATAATGACACACGTGCGTGTGTGGCGGGCTTGGCCTTGGCACTTGCGTCGTAATGACACTCACTCTTTTTTTGACAGGTGTCGCTCCCTCGGCACTGTACGTTTCTTCACTGTTTTCCCTTCTCCTTGCTCGGAAACGGCCGAAAAACAGCCAAAATCCCACTATCGAAATTTACACCACATTTGCACCGTGCGGAGTGGGGTGGGTGGGAGCGGGGAATGTTCCTGCTCTGATACCAGTGTGATGGACCCGCTGGGATGGCGGTCCGTCAAGGTGAAGACGAAGGGGTGAGGATGGAGGAGATGGAGGTGGAGTTGGAAGGGACAGCGTAGCTCCAACACAGACTCAACACGCGCGTACTCCAACGTGGGCCGAATGAAGAATGATCTGAAAACAGACTGGAGCTGTGGTATACCCCCAGCGGACTGAGTGGACTGGACTGGCCTGGCCTGGTACCGACAGTGGTACCGGGCAGGACTGGACTGAAACAGCACAGGGCCAGTGGGGTCAGGCCACGGCCTGGTCCCACAGGCCGAACAGGCAAATGGCTTGATAGGCCCTGGCCTACAGCCAGGGCAGATAGAGGCCCGCTGCACATTTAGACCGGGAAGAGCGGAGGCATCTTTTTGGCGGGGACCCTTCAGGCATGGAAATCCATGCCTTGTACCCCTCTGAGGGCACCCAGCAGTGAGAGCACCAAAGATGAAGTGCTGAGGCAACCACTATTCGAAAACCAGTGGATCAGGGGTAAGGATGGGAAATACTCCGAAGCATCTTCGGGCAGAGGCAAATTCGGAAGGGCATGGATTGAGCGGGTATCCTAGGCATTGAAGATCAGTGGGAAGAAGTGCTGTGGGAAGAAGTGCCGCAAGACTGGCACCCGCTTGAAAAAATCAAAGGCAAGCTGGGGAGACTGTGGCATGTGTAAGCAAGACTACAAGCACTGATTGACCTTGTTCCGAAGGAATGGAAAGCCCTCCTTGGAAGCACCTCAACAACAGCATCCAGGACATGGTTTCGCCCAACTCACTCAATCTGTAATGATGGACAGGAGTACTTTAAGGAGGTTCGCGAAAGAAAGGCAGAAGTTTGGGAGAGGAGGTGGAAACACTGGAAAGAGGGTGTTGTAACCGATGGCCTTGTCTTCAAAGAGGAAAGAGTGCTTGGTGCCAAGTTGGTGGCATCCGTATGCTGGAGGAAGTGAGAGGGACTCTTCAGTTTTCCAATACAGGCTCGGTATAATAGGTGCTGTGTATGGGGGGAACCCAATAGGAGCGATGTGCCCGGATATTGGTCTGTACTGTTCGCCCATCCTGGGCAGAAAATCGGAGTTGAGGCACTATTCATAGCCTCGTGGTTTGTGGAAAATATGTCAAAGGGCAGCTCCACTCAGAAAATCCAAACGGCCCATCCTTCCTCACCCAGTGGAGTCCCACTTTCAGTGGAATACTACAAGGAGATGTGGAAGCTGTGCCGTCGTCGGCCAAGCACGAAATGCTCTGCTAGTTTGGCTAATCAGGCGTGCCACACCTTTGGATGCTGAAAGCCTATTCATCCGAGGCATGGATGTGGATTCAATGTCCGAGATGCCACCGTGCCCCATAAGACTCCCGCTCACATGTGGGGAACATGCCCCCTTTCCTTTCGCATATGGAAGTGGTGCGGCCACCGTTGGAAATAAATTTGAGGACCCGCAGAAATTACTTGGGACTTGGATTGGGCTTTGACAGGGAAACTGCACCCATGCCACCCTTTGGTATCATATCGCAAGGGGTGGGGCTACCTCGCAGTAGCCCCGAGCGCAGTAGCTATCTGATGGATTTGGGGAACAGAATTGGGTCACCGTGCTGTTTCAGACAACATACTTTTCTGACCCTGAAATGCGGTATGAGATCCACCGTAAGACAGACGACTGTTACAGTAGTAGACTGAAAAAGAAGGCGGAGCTGGTCTTGTCAAGATGGTAGATAGTGGTTGGTAGAAGTGGGGGAGAATAGGTTTCTGTGAGAGGGACCGTGCTGCTCGCCTGGTCACTCGGTGGACCCTGTGTCAGTTTAGTATGATTCTCAAAGGCAACAGCGATCTCTAAGGCTAAGCCGAAGGGCCAGATCCCACTAGCCCCTATTGTTCATTTCTGACCGTTGATCTTCGTAATCGGGGGTAAAAAATGAATAATCCAGGGTAGTGGGATCTGACCCTAATGCCCTCGGTATCGGTAGAATTCCCCGGCCTATCTTTCATTTGCAATATGCGCACTCTTTCTGAAGTTTCTGTACAAAAAAAGAAAAAGAAAAAAAAAGAAAGGTATTGCAATAAGTTTCTGTACAAAAAAAGAAAAAGGAAAAAAAAGAAAGGTACTGGTGGTGGCCCCCTTGGCTGAGGGGGGATGGAACCCGCAAGAACCGGCAACCTTGTCGCTCGCACCGGGGCCGATAACATCTGCCTCTAAAGGACAACCACCAAGCCGGGTAGGGCAGGTATGCCAAGCGTTGCAGCTCGCGTTGTTAGAGTCCCATCTTGCCACGTGCAGTCTCGTGCGACACGGAGAGGGAGGAGGAGGAAGAGGAGAAAGGAGGTACTAGGCGTTTGTCAGGTTTGTATTGAGATGCTCACCCCCCGTATCTTTAATGGCATACGCACTCACAATAGGACTTTTCTGGATGCATCTGACCTACACTAAATATCATGTCCAGCTTTAGCTTAAATGGTTTAAAGTTTGTGTGAGGAACACTGAGCTTGCTGAAGATGGCTCCGCTCGGCATATTATGCAACCCTGGCAGCTGGTGGCTGTCGTAGACATCCGCTGCACGGCTCAAGGACTGATTCTGATTGAGCCGTTAGTAGTACTTAGTACCGTTACCGTGGTGGCTATGGCTATAGTAGATGGCGTCGTTTTCGTTTCTACTCTATCCGCGTATACAAACTACGTGGGGCTGAAGTTGGGCTCACTAGCTGTGTGGTTGGACGTGACGATTTAAGAGATGCACTTCCTCGATTCTCTAGTTTCCTTCTGGCTCGGCTTCCTGTGTGGAGATCGACAATCCGAGGGGTACTGCTTTGGTACACTAAGAAGGAGCTCGCGGAGCGGAAGAGAGTGTGACAAAATATGTCTGTTCAGTGTGTGTGCTTCAGACGGTGGAAAAGAGACGTGAGTGTAGGGAACTCATGTTTTGGCGATTTTCACACACACACACACACACACACACACACACACACACACACACACACACACACACACACACACAGAGACAGA